ATAATACTAATATAATAAAATACTATTATTTGACCTTCAATTTAAAAAAATTCTTTTGACTTGACTAGTAATCGGTTCCATAAGATCAGTCGTCTTCATGTGTGTATATGTAAGCAGAATTGAAATATTAAAAATGGGACACACTCTGATTTATGTGGAAATTATTGATTTTTTTTTAAATAAAATTAAATTTTTACAGATGATTGGTTAATATTTGTTTGCACTACAGTCGTCAAACGTTGCAAGGCCAAATCCAGTAATTTACACATGTTTTAAAACTTGAGATACTATAATTAACAATATTGAAAAGTATATAAAATGATTAAATTGCATTTTATAAATAAGGGTCTGAAGTGCTCAGAAATGGTATCGAATATTCTCCAATAACCCACAGACTGTATCGAAAAGCCAATGATCCCCTTTCACCAGAGGGCCCCCATTTAATAGAGCACTATCTAAATGAACCAAGTCCGTCGCTATTTGAGAGATAACACAATTTCTCTCTGTGGACCATCTACGATACACTTACTTCAATACCGAGTTCAGAAAAAACTTACCAATTATGGTAATTAATTGTGGTTCATATTTTTTTTAATATAAATTTTGGAGCTCTACTCCCTCACTTTCTTAAATATTCGGCTGAGCCTTTAAGGTATGTTTTGAGTTATAGAGCTTAAACAATAAATTGAATAGACATACTTTTTAAAATTTTAGAATCAGAATTTATATAGCGTCCATCACAACCCGGATAATATGCAAGGCTCTGGCATTATTATTTTGCTGGTCAATGGATACTGAGTTAGCAAACCGGTGTATTTGTGCAACATTGCCTGCTCGATGGGGAGCATCCCTAGTCTTACTTTGTAGCAGTGGCGTATGAGACTTGAAATGGAAAAGCTAATGGGGGGGGGGGCGATCACGACTAGATACGGCACTAAGCGAAAGTGAAAATGAGGCAAAATATTTTTCTTGAAAAAGACTTAACAGAAGCTTAAGTATGGCTAATAGCATTCAAAAATATTTACACAGTGTTTTCTGAATTTTAGCACATCTCAATTTAATAGACGATCGTGGTGAGCATTCGGAGTATTCAAAGCTGCTGCTAAGCGTGTCCAGAACACCTTCTGACCATCTGGATTTTCTGTCCATTCGATGTAGGTCTTCTTTCTCAAGATCTTCTGAAGTAATGTCGGCATATTTCTACTCGCCACATGCTCTAATATTACAACCACTAAAATGTCCTCGTGATGGTCAAACATACGTGTTCTGGCCATTTCCATTTCAAAGTAACACCATTCACTTTTAGCAAAGTTCTTGGTGACAACTATCAACATTTTGCGACTATACTTAATAGCATCAGAAATATTGTCAGCAATCGCTCCCCCAACTACAAAATCCCTGAAGTCAACGCAAAGACGAAAGTTGAACTCGGGACCTTCCAGTATCGGTAAGGCTGACTTAAGTACCCAATCAACGTCTTTGCTGTTGTAGGAGACAAAGGCGTCATATCGAACCTGTACGCCGTCAATTGGTGGCGGACCCTCGTTTTGTAACCTCTCGTATTGTTTTCTGAGAAGCCGCCGCTGATTCCAGTATCTATGAAGAAAAGGGTTTCCTTATTTGAGATAATAAATTCATTATTTGAATTGCTTATATTTTAGGCTATATGTTTAAGTAAGTTATTAGCTTTAATTTGAAAATTAAAACAAACAAACTTTTGTCCTGATAATATCTTTCCAGTACAGAATCCTCAATTAATTAGTTGGTAATTTTTTTATATAGCAAAATGTCTATAAATCAGTCAATATCTAAATATTTCTGTATCATTTTTGAGAACATACGT